TTTTGTTAATTGTTTTTTTAATTTGTTAGTTGTCTGCTAAGCTAAAGATTGTTTGTTTTGTTTTGTCTGTTTTTATTGTTATTTAAAATTAGGCCTATATTTAAAACGGTTTTTACCTAAATTCCTGTTCTCATTTACAAATTTTAGTACACGAACGCTTGTGCCCTCTCACATTAGCAAATCTAAGGCGTTCTAACAGAGAGTATACAAAGAAAAGCCCTAGCCTGTATTTTTTTTTTAATTAAAAAAGATCCAAAAAAATATATGCAATGAATCAATACTGGCAAAGAAAAGGCTAAAATAAAGCGAACGGTGTGGGAAGCTGGGATGTGGAGGAAAAAAATTAATAGAATGGCGTAAAAAGGTTGAAACCTATAATTACATGTTAAAGTGTAGCCTAAGACGAAGACGAAATCTCTTACCGGTATCGAATGAGATTTAGTTCGAATAGCTGAGTAATCATGCAAACCCAGTCAAGACACTAAAGCGACAGATTAGAAAATAAGAGAACTCTTATCAGCAGTTTAGGCACTTCTACAGAGACGTCCACAAATTACAGATTTGGCAATGAAAGAATACAAAGCTTTGTAAGTTGATATACAATGTAGTTAACGTGCCGGTTCCTTGCCTATAGAAACTTTGGGTGACTTGAAATGTTGGTGGTACACACATTTATTGCAAACAATTTGAATATGGGTAGGCCTATAGTTTTGCCGAAGAAATTGAAAAGAAAGTGGAAATGAGATTGTCATGGATATGTGCGTGCTCAATATTGTATTGTCCTACGTGCCGTGGGAAGAAGAAGAAGATGCGAGAGAGAGAGAGAGAGAGAGAGAGAGAGAGAGAGAGAGAGAGAGAGAGAGAGAGAGAGAGAGAGAGAGGTGGGGGGGGGGCCGGGGTGAAAGAGTGAGAGAGAGCGGGGGAGTGAAAGAGAGATAGAGATAGAGAGAAAGAGAAAGAGAGAGAAAAAGAAAGAAAGAGAGAAAGAGAGAGAGAGAGAGAGAGAGAGAGAGAGAGAGAGAGAGAGAGAGAGAGAGAGAGAGAGAGAGAGAGAGAGAGAGAAGAGGAGAAGGGGGGCAGATAGAGAGAGACATGAAGAAGAAGAAGAAGAAGAAGAAGAAGAAGAAGAAGAAGAAGAAGAAGAAGAAGAAGAAGAAGAAGAAGAAGAAGAAGAAGAAGAAGAAGAAGAAGAAGAAGAAGAAGAAGAAGAAGAAGAAGAAGAAGAAGAAGAAGAAGAAGAAGAAGAAGAAGAAGAAGAAGAAGAAGAAGAAGAAGAAGAAGAAGAAGAAGAAAAAGAAGAAGAAGAAGAAGAAGAAGAAGAAGAAGAAGAAGAAGAAGAAGAGAAAAAAGAAGAAGAGGAAGAAGACGAAGGAGAAGGAGAGGAAGAAGACGAAGGAGAAAGAGAAGAAGAAAGAGGAGGAGGAGGAGGTGAAGGAAGAGGAGGAGGAGGAGGGAGGAGGTGAAGGAGAAAGATAGGAGGATCAGATTGTGAGTATACTAGGCATACGCCTGTCTGCTCAGGTTGTAGTTTGTACTACCACTGGCAAGTTTGCAACATATTGCTTTTCAAAATGAAAGAGTATAACTTTTGAAAGTTGAAAGTCACGATACCAGGATATTTAATTTGTTTCCTTGGTATGGGGATAAGGTGAAAGAAAAAGCCAAATCCAATTTCCCCTTTTTGAGGCCTTTGTATTATTAAACTCCGGGCTTTCCTTCTTCTGATACGCTTTTACACATTTCAGCTCTGTCTTCCTTTAGTTTCTCTTGGTTATCCGTTATCTAACTTTTTCATTGACACGTTCATTCTTCTTCTTCTTTTTCTCGATCGCATCACGCTTGAAGTCTGGGCCGTCCTGCTCAGTTCATCTGTCGGCCCGTATAGCTTCTCTTGTAGCGTCAGTGGGGTTGGCCACGTTACCTGTCTCAGGGCCCCGTGTGTCAAGACAGTGTTGAAGGATTTGTTCAACAGTTTGGTCTGCCTCTCCACACTGGCATTTTGGTGTTTGTACTAGTTTAAAACACCTGTACATATGTTGTCTCAGTCTTGTGTGTTGCGTCCTTAGTCGGAAGATAATCACTTGTTCTTGGCGGGACAGCCCATGGTAGCTATCTGGTGTCTGAGGTGCTTTAAATAGTGTATTTATAATAGTTTTTATTTCTGTGTAGTTAACGCTGTTGTCTAGTTGCTCTTTCTGTGCTCCCAGTTTGGCCATCCTATCTGCCTGCTCATTTCCTAAGACACCACAGTGTTATGGAATCCACTGCAGTATGATCCTCAGACATGGGATGTCGTCAATTACTTTTCGTAGCCTTGGTAGTTTGCCGGCAGTGATTGCCTGCAGTACTGACATGGCATCTGTTAAGAATACTACTTGGCTTTAGGGGTTTACCACATTCTTGGTGATGTTTGCTGCATGTATTAGAGCCTCCGTCTCTGCCCTGTAGTTTGTACAATGTCGCCCTGTTGGGACTGCCTCTGCTTGTCGTCGTCCATTTGGGAACTGTACGTACAATCCGGCTCCTCCTCTTTCCACAGCATCAGTGGCAGATCCATGGACAGGGTGAGGGACTTCTTGCTCAGGTCGCTGTAGTCATCTTTTGTGGTGAACATAGGAATGGACCTGTGTATAATTAACACGTTCATTTATTCATTTGTTTGTCCTTCAGTGGATAGACAATTTGTTTGAACATCGCTCCCTTCATTCATGTTTCCATTTAAAAAAGAATTCCTGTGTCTTGTATTCGTTCATTCATCTCTTCCCTGGTACATTAAAAAAAATTTTATTCCTTCTTTCTTTTAACTATTCGCTTTAGATAAGATTTTTAATAAAATTGCAGTCAGCCTGTCGAACCCGGGACTTTTTGAAAGAGAGGCGAACATTCTTCATTTCTTCTTTCATTAACTAGCCACGTGTCCTTATTATTTTGCTCCTTCACTGATCTCCTCATGTCGTCTTCCAGGACCAGCGGACCAGCCCCTGACCGTGTCCTTTAGTAACGGACGCACGGAGAAAGTTCCCGGTGACGTAGCTGTGTGGATTCACCCCAGCACCTACGAACGTCTATCTCTGGAGCTCCAGATGCCAACAGAAGCAAGGAAGTCCCTGCTCTCAACAGCTGACCAGTACCCAATAGAAAACCTGCCCGGGTACCCAACTTCTGGCCCTTCTGCGGAGCCACGGGAATATCCTCGAGTGGATCCTTTCGTCGTGGAGAACAGCTCTTACCTGTGGGATCCCTACATGTACCGGTACCCGCCTTACCTTCCTTACGGGTACCCACCGTTCGTTGTGAGTCCGAGGAGGCGGGTGAGAGAGGATCGAAACCGGTTAGTGGAAAGTAAAGCTGTGGATGATGCTGCGGCCGTTATTCCGGGCACAGATATGACGCGCCAGGAACTGGATGATCGCGTCATGAGTCAGCTTATGGAGCACCGGCTGACCTCTGTTGGAGATGCCCGGAAGGAGAGAGTCACGACTGACAGGGTTTCTGTGGCAACTGACAGAGCGACCGCGGAGTACAATGCCGAGAGAGCTGCTGCTGCTTCCAGGCTGCTGAGCAGAAGAGGGAAACAGGAAGAGAATGTGCTGAAGAAATCTGTCACCTTCATTGAGCAGGAAGATGTCCACAACATCCCAAACAGGGCCGATGCTGAAGAACTTGTGAATGATGAAGAGTTTGACGAATATGGAAACCCGGCGAAGTTCACCGACTCGGGGGTCAACACAGATTCCAGCCTCCTGTTTTACACTTCCCCTGGGATCAAAGGTCGGCCAAGGTGGAACTACTGGCGCAATGACCCTAGCCCCTCCTACAGCGAGATCAGTGGTGGTATTGCTGGTGATGTTGCACCAAAGGAGCCGGGGCCATTTAGGGAAACAGCTTTGCAGGCGCCTTTGGAAGCAAGAGACCAGAGGGAGTCACCTTATAATGGTAGGCTACAGCATTATATTTGTTTGTTTGAGTAAAAAGATAATCCTTGACACAACGGTTGTTTATAGCAGTGTAAAATTAAGACAAAATAGATGCACATGGACTCAATGGTAATTTCTTACTAAGGAAAAGTAAGACTAAACAGATGCACATCGACACAATGGCATTTTATTGCAGGGGAAAAGTAAGACCGATAGATAGAAACGACAGTGGGGAAAAATGATGTTAGGCTTACACATTGAGCCCTCCAACTAGCTGTTAGCATAGTGTTAAGTTTTGAAGTCATAATATGCCAAATGCTTCACGCTCCTGTTTTCATATACTTCCTTATGCATATTGGTGCAAACTGTGAAACTCTGAATGTGTAAAAATACACCGAACTGCAGTCAGACTGCAAATTTATAGGATGATACAAAATGTTGGTCAGGTATCTTAAGATTTTGCTGTCAGCCCATTTTCTTGATAGTCTTTCAAGGGTGGGCATATGAATACTACTACTACTACTAAAAATGATAAATAGCATTTGTATAGCGCCTAACAAAAACCAAAACCAAAATGAGTATCTAAGCTGAAGTCAATCATAGCTCATGTGACAACTAAAGGTAATAATTCTCTATAATTCTCTACTAATAGGGATCATTCACCCAAGATTTTATCTCTCGCATGAAAATGAAGTACCGTTGAGGATGTGCTTCAAATTTTGCAAGAGTACTTAAACTTTGTATTTTTCTTACAACAGTTGAATGGACAAGTCCAGCCTTCAAGTATGTAGACACATATGCAAAACACGACTACTCAAATTCAGTGGAGGAGTGTTTGGGAACACCCAAACCACCTTCACAGCCTGACACAAAGGCTTTCAAGCGTAACTACACTGTTGCCTCAAGACCTATTGCAAGCATGACCCCTGAGGAGAGAGAGGAAACTCGCAGAGCAAACAGGTTGGTTAAGAAATTTTGTTTCTTTACTTTCTGTTGTCTTATAAAATTCTCAAAGCTCAATGGAGACGTTTAAGATTTAAATTTGAAATTATCAGATCACCTCTTTCTACATGTTTCCTTTTAATTTCTTTATGAGCATTGGCTATCAATAATTCCCCTCTAAAGATGTCTGTAATGTGCTTCTTTCTCCTGTTTTCTTCAAGTTTGGCCCAGTTTATTTGTACAGATTTTCTTTTCCTTCATTTCTCTCCCAGTTTATTCTTGAGCTCACTCTGGTCTGTTTCTCTGATGTGGGGATTCCATCTGACTGGCCTTCAGGTTATACTCTCTCTGCCTTTTTCACCCTGGTATATAGAGCACTAAGAAGGGCTCTCCACCTGTTTTCTGGGCCATCCTCTATACCTCAAACCAGCTGTGTCCCATCTGTCAGAGTTCTGCCTCCAGATCTTGTTCCCAGGAGGATGTTGGCCTTCCTGTCTCCCCATACCCCCAACCCCACCCCCCCCCATTGGGAGATTCCATCTTAAGCTTTGCCTTGCAATATTGTGGGCTGGTTTTCTAAGAGTGGTTATACTTGTAGACTATTTTCTTAATGCATGTCCAGTCAATCGCTATTATTTCTGTATCCTTTCCTTTCCACTTTCCATTGGTCTCTCTAACAGTTTCTCTGTGGGGATAAAGTTGAACTATGCTAGGTCCAAAATCTTTTTTCAGCATCAATTGAAGAAGGTTTGGAACTTCCTCTCAAATGCAGTTCTTTATCTCTTGTCTCTGTTGCATGTCGTAGATCAAATTTCACTGTGCTTTGAACAGACTTTTCTGGGGTTTTTTTTCAATTCATTGGATTTCCACAGAATTTACCTACAACAATATAAATTCTCTTCTCGTCTTCTGGACTTTCGCCTTTATACCCTCGTAATATATTCAATGATGACAGTTCCGTGGTAGGTGCGAAAGATTCCACACCCTTTAGAAATCATAGATGCATCTTGAAGAGTCAGAACTGTTACTTCTTGAACATTCATATTGAGGACTTTGGATTTTCTTCTGTGGATATGAAGTCTAGTGCTGTGTGCTATCTTAATGACGATGTCTGTTTTCTTTGCATTGGATTATGGACAGGGTTGAGAAGCAATTAATAGTTAGCTGTCATCTCTTTCACCACCTATGGAGTAAGATTTTTTAAATGGTCAAGACAAGCACTTTCATATGATAATGGTTATTTGGTACTTAGGAAAAAACAAACTCGAGAGATGAAAACAAAAAAAGATAGTAATGGAACAGAACCTATCCGCAGCACCATGTAAATAAACTTTAACCATAAGAGGTAGTAATCGAAACCAAACAAAATGTATTTGCTTAGCGCCTTTGTGTTAATTACATAAAAGGAACCTAGCCCCTCTCATATGCTGTGATTTTCGTTCAAGACGAAGCCCACTTAACACACAGGGTAATGGGGTAACGATTAGATCCACTGCAAACTAATACCATTCTTTGATGGTAGTGAAGCACACACTGATATCTATGCTTGGGTCATACTTATGAGGTTTTGACTTTGATGTTTTATATTTCCTTTCTTCCTTTTCTTCTTCCTGTTTTTTTTTTTACTCCAACTTTTGCAGCAAGTGCTCAGCCTTTGGAATTACCCAAATTCATAACATACATAGAGTTGAAATTGAGTACCCCCCCAAAATGACTAAATTGCCTCCATTTTTCTCCAAAACTCTCAGACGGCGTCGCGTGATCAAGAGAGAAGCTGAATGGCAAGCCCGCCTAGTGGACGAGGACAATATGAAGTCTCTGATGCAGGACCAGCACCGTGAGAGGATTCTGGGCCAGATGGAGAGGGATAGACAGCGTCAGATTAAGGAGCAGCAGGATATCCAGCTTGCACGAGAGGCCAAAAAGAAAATAAGCCATGAGTTGAGAATTCGCATTGAGCAAAATCAAAAAGATGAGGCAGACAGAGAAAACAGGTAAGAAAAAACCCATTACAAATAAAAATTCAAATAAGCTTGTTAGTTCATTTGTATTGTATTAACGCTTTGAATCCTGGACCTTGATGTTTTTCAACTCCCCATCTATAGACTACCCAAACTTGGTTAGCCCCAGGCGCATGTACTGGCCTTACAGGATACCAAAAAATATGCCCTGGCTGGTTTACCTTCCTCACAGATAATCACCAATGACAGTTGAACTTGTCCAAGATAATCATTCATGGTTGATGAGAAAAGTGATAGTCTTAAACAGGTGGTCCTCTTGGACAGTATCATTGTTATGCATAGAAAACAATGCAAGGGGGAAAGTGGGAAGTAGTAATTTGAAAAAGTTATGAGTTTCTTGAGTGGTGTTCATTAGAGCAGGTTTGACTGTTAATAAATCTATTAGCTTTCCAGAAAAATCTTGTTGTGAGAGTATGTACTTTTGAGATTACTGTGTAACACTTATTGCCTTTAAAGTATTATACATTGTTTCTGAGAAACCGATGGTAGTACTTTTACATATTTTTCTAATTTATTTCTTAATTTTACAGACGCATTGAAGCTCTTAGGAGAAGGCGTGAAAAGAGGGAGCAGATTCAGGCACAAAGAGATCAAGACATTGCTGAAACTGTTCAAAGACGAGAGGTGAGTTGTTAGTTTTTACTTAGTCTAGCATAATAATAATAGATTGCATTTGTATAGCGCAAATCCCCGCCCAACAGCAAGCTCTATGCTCTTCACAATCTATGCTAGTACCCCAGCAAACCTGAGAGCATTCTGAAACAACATCACCTTCCTGGGAAGCATACAGTGCAAGCAGCCATTTATAAGCGCTAAAACACTGAACATACTGACAAGATCTTTCGCTGTCTATGTCTGCGTACCCTTTCCCACCTGGGTGAAGTGAGGAAAATTCGTGTTAAGTGCCTTTCTCAAGGACACAATGTCGGGCCCGCGGCTTAAACCCCCGAACCTGCAACCTCAAGATTACGAGTCCGGTAGCCTAACCACTAGGCCACCGACGCCAGAAAGAAAGAAGTGATTTTCTAGCCTATGCTTGGATGTTAGTAACAAACTGTTAACATGATGTACTTTGACAAAATGATTGTAGAGGTGATGTGACTAGCTGTAGGCTAGATAGGAGGCATGGTGTAGTCTATATGAGAAGCACTATGCTTACAGTGCTTGTGATGTACCGTAGTAGCTAGAAATGACACAGTCTAGATTAACAGAGCCCAATTCATGTACTGTTTGTGTGTGATGTGTGACAAAAATCATGGAGGTATTTTAGTTTGTGGAGAAGGCAACTTGTCAACAATGATGATAATAATAATAATAATAATAATAATAATAATAATAATAATAATAATAAATAATAATAATAATAATAATAATAATAAACAGAACTAGAAATAGAAACAGAATAATTATAATACTACTAATAATAATAACGATACTAATGATGATGATGATGAAGATGACAATGATAATGATGAAGATGATGATTAAGCCCACGGGGCGAAACGTTGAGCTATTAAACAAATTTAAACATTTAATATTGTTATTTTATTTTTGTCTAAAATTAAAACAAGACTCTCCTCCTACCCTGCTTACCAAACAATGAAGATGATGATGATGATGATGATGATGATGATGATGATGATGATGATGATGATGATGATGATGATGATGATAGGAGCAGAGTGATAATAGTAATAATAGTAATGATAATAATAAAAGTAACAATAATGATAAGGATCACATCTGTAGTGCCCACTCCCTGTGGCTCGAGGTAACTCACAAGGAAATAACGTATCCACAGCGCACACACCATAACACTTTTCATGCATACTGGCCCATTGTGCACTACAAATATGCCAACAAGTGTATTCGGATAAAGAAACACATACATAAACTTACAAGCCTTGAAACTGCTGATCATAATATTTGTTGCTATTGTTTGTTTTAGTAAGAGTTTTAAAGCTCTTGCAACACAATAAGGTCATATAAGTGCCGAAGATTGGAGGTGTTACAAGAGAATAATAAACACAAAAAAGAAGGAGGAGATATAAGGATGATAAATGTTTGATAGAAAAAAAGGAGCAAACCACACCAGAGCACCCACCAACCACTCACATATTTGTTGTTAGAGAAAGAACTTTTGTAATGACTTATTTAGTTGAAATATTATTTTGCAGTACATTCCGTTATGCAATCTCATTGTTTTTTCTCACAGGACATTCGCAAACAGAACAACGAGTCTCGACTTCAGTCCTGGACAGAGAAACTTAATGAGCAGGACGCTAAAGAAGCAGCCCTAGACAAGCAGCACCGGGATGCTAAAATTAACCGCCTACGCCATTATAGGACTCTGGAAAAGGAAGGTCAAGACAGGAAAGATTTGCGACTGGTTGTCAAAGAACAGAACCAAGTTATATATAGGTCGCAAATATTTGCATAAGTGAATTATAAAAGGGCTCTGATCTCTAATCTGTTTGTATTGGTGACATATTCACCCCCCCCCCCCCCCCCCTTTTTTTTTTCTAAATCATTGTCTTGTTATTTTCTAAAACATGTCATATATTAGCCTGTTTATATTCAAAGAAAAGCATATTTATGGTTCTTTCAGTTGCTTTACATACTTACCCTAAAGATGTATTGGGAAATAATTTTTTTTCAGAAGCTTCTATGTACTTTTCTAATATCATTATTAGACCTTTGTGGTAATGAAATGGAATTCAAATTTTTAGAATTGATTTTTATGACATAAGTGGAAGGGAGTTTAAGTTGTATTATGTTCTTGATTCTATCATTTCAATGAAAATGATTTCGTGTTTTGCATTTAATTTAATGCAGAATTATTTTTTTTCTCTTTATGATGAATTAACAAATGCAACTATTATAGCTGTAGCTAATGTAGCTTAGTAAAGATCTATAAATTTTACTGGTGGTGGAGTTAAAAAGCTTTTAGTAAACAGGTATTCAATGTTATTTTTCTGAACGCAGACATTTATTTCATTTACATGTTCCTTTCTCAGAACCTACTTCACGAAAGGGATAATGTATTTGATCGTGTGTATAGTTTACATCGCATATCATTAGCATTTTTACTCAAGTGCAAAGATAATTTTTTTGAAAAAATTGAAAAGATTAAAGAAAGTAAACTTTAAATATAAGATATAACTTAATGTCTTTTTTTGAATGACAAATTTATCATGTAGGCCTAACCCCAAAAATTGATTTAGGCAATTGTGGAATGACACTGGGGATATTGTAAAGGATAAAACTGTTTAGAATTTCTGGGAACAAATCAACACTATATCTTTAATCTTATGTGGAATATTGCTTTGGCTGCTGATATGCTAGATCAGTATATCTCACATAAAAGCCCATGTGTTGGTCTCATTATAAAGATGTTCAAGAAAATGTGTATGTTTACACAGTCAATTATACCATGGTGATTGGGACGAATACAGGCCTTCATTTGTAAAATACTTCTTGTCCCAGATCTTCACCCAAATCAGTCAAATTCATCCCAAATGTAAATAACATTTTTTGTTACATTTTGTCTTGCTCCATAATACAACAAATTTTGAAACAAACCACAACTTCAAACTGCATTTCGTCAGACTGTTGCATAAGTGATGAAAAATGTTTAAAGGATCGAGATGTTCATTTTTTTAAAAAGTGTTTCGTCAACTGTTTCTACTGAATCATGTAAATGATGAAGTTATCTATGAGCTTATTTTGAAATGTCTGATGGCTTTTTTAAAAAAAAGCTTTGTTGTCGCTGTTTCAATAAGAAAGAGTCACTCCATTATTTGCTCTCTCTGTAAAGCAGGGTTGAAATAGCTAAGAATATTTTTTTCGCAACAGTGACAATGTATTAAAGTAGTCTGAATATAGTTCCAGATTTGAAGACATCCTGATAACTCTTGGCTGAACAGTGAACAATGTCTCTGAATTCTGGTACAAAGGTCTTTACCATGTATAATGGTTTATGTTACTTCGAGACATCTTAGTATTTTCTTTGATACCTAAGATTAATAATTAGTTCTGTCCATGCCAAAAAATGTCAAAGTGTGAATTGATAAATAGAGAATGAAACTGGTTGTTAGTTTTTAGAGAAAATGAATGTGTAGATTTCATATTTTGTTTTATTGTTTTGTTTCACCCTTTGCTTTAACAGAGGCTGCAAAGCAATTTCAATGATCCCGAGCTGTGATATGTGTACATTGTATGAGTTGGAGAGTTTTCTCCATGCTTGCTTTGGGTTTTGTCTTATTAGATAGGTTGCACAAATACATACACACGTTTCTCCTACATTAATGTGAGCACCTTTTACACTATTTTATTGTTCAGGCAACTCAAGCCTTGCTTCTCTTAATAGTGTTTGAAAAGAAAGTGGAAGATTTGGAACATAGCTTTCTTGATAGTTTTATTTTACTCTCATGTGTGTGAATGAACTGTCATACACACACACGCGCGCGCGCACACACACACATACACACACACACAAACACACACACACAAACACACACACACACACAAACACACATACACACACACACTCTCTCTCTCTCACTCTCTTTCTCTCTCTCTCTCTCTCTCTCTCTCTCTCTCTCTCTCTCTCTCTCTCTCTCTCTCTTTCTCTCTCTCTCTCTTATTATCAGTCTGATTGATTCCTAACTTTGTCTAGTCTGTTTCTCCAATGTGACATTGTATCATTGGGAATTATGAATCAAGTCTTTTTGTCTGTTTGCCTATTCTGACTTTTAAAAAACAAACTCGCCCAAAATCTGAGTTATTCATTTTGTTTAAACAATAAAAAGTCGGAGGAGTTTTATCTGTACTGTGACTTACGTGTCAAACTTGTGTAAGGGGAACATTTGCTTTGGTGATAGTTTAAACAGAAAAGTTGAGTTTTACTTTTATTTTCTATATTCCTAAACCCTTGACAACAGATTGTTCAAACTACTAAGATATTGATGGGTTTATCTTCTATTGTTTTCAAGTTGAATTTCTTCTTTAAATGGAGATTCGCATATTTCAAAGATTTTGTGAAATGTAATCCTATTTCTTCAAGATAGAAATTACCTTTCTGCTTCTTATACTGTGTTAGCTGCACAAGTTAATTAATGCAGAAAGTTAAAAAAAGAAATAATTTAGTGAAAATATAACTTTTAATTAATTTTTGAAAATATTTTATCCGGTGTCCATGTCTTGGATTGATGTTATGATTGTTGATGTGTTACTTTTGTAGTTCAAGTAGGAACTTGCAGAGTAATGTTACACCTTTTACCCAAAAAGCTTATAGTATGCTGTTCTTTTGTTATTAGCTGGTATAATTCTATTGTTACTGTTATTGAACTGATTTGATTCTAACTTCTTTGGAATTGTTTTATTATATATCCATAGACTTTTGAAACTGATGAATTTTATTGTTTTGTCAGTTTAGTTTGTGTGATTCTGTAAGCTTCTGGTAGACACAAAACCTATGGTGTTTTAAATAGAAATAATATTGTAGCTTGTTCACTTTTGTCTATTCGTGTAAAAAAGTTCTAGCTAATTTTTTAATCTACCTATGCCCTCGAAACTTATGTCAATTTTTCAAAGTTTTAAGTGTATGCTGTAAATCCCCAATTATTTTTTTTACACGATTTAGGCTAACATAAAAAAAAATGTGTCGGAACATTAGTTTAAGGTGACCTTAATGAATGGGCTTTTGGATTCTGTGGGTCAGTCTCCAATTTTTAGACCTGTATTGGAAGATGGAAGAAAACTGAACAGAGTGATTTCTTTTTACCTTGTTTTAACTGCCACCTGATGAGAGTGAACCAGCTATATTATAGGTACTTGGTTTAAGCACACTGCGATGCCTTCAAAATAAATAAGTTTGCACTCATTGCTTTGTGTTTCTATTCTCACATATTTTCTTCCCTTTTTGAACTAGAATTGCTGATAAATGATTAAGAATGGACTTAAATAGAGCGGTAGACGCTTGCACATTTCATTTTGTCCTTCAGGTGTGTGCCGATTTATCACCTTTTGCCTTCTAGGATAATAATAGGAAGCCTTTAACGTTCTTTTCAAAGAGTTTATTTGGAAGACACTTATAAAATATCATCTTGGTTTTCTTATTGCAAAGTATTATTATGTACAGGGTATGTATGTTCTATCTTTCAGCCGTGCATTCCTATTTCTTTTCCTTTCTATGTTTGTTAACCTTCAGTATTACGACATGGCTAAAAAAGCAACTTTACGTCACAGCTTGTTCATATATTTTTCATGCCTCTGTAGTAGAATATGTGCCAGTCGCAGACTGACTGCCATACGTTCAAAGAAATTAATGAATAACTTGCAACTTTTGGATGAAAACAGATTTTGATTCTTTGATACAACAATTTTAATAGGGATTCTTGTTCTATAATGGAAAACTTAATCTCAGTGAGAGAATCTCATTTCAGAACAAAAACTGAGCTTTGTTAATTGACCTTTCAAGTCTTTGTTGCATTTTTTCTTTTCTTTTTTTGCTGTCGAGCTTGATCTAAAAATCTTGTTGCTGTATCTTAATATTTTAAGAATCATGCCTTCATATTTTCTCATTTCTGTGCCTTTTATTTTGATTAAAAGATAAATATATCACTAGAAATGAATATATATAACATAATTGCTTTCTCATTTTAACTTTTGTACCTATAGAACCAAATTTGACTTCTTAAGATAGCCTTCAATGTTAAGAAAATGTGTGTTTCTCTGCCTTGGTTTGACTTTGCCTTATTTTTTAACCATTGCAAACACATGTTTAAGATTGTCAATCTTAAGTCTTAGACAACACAAGTATAGATCAATAAGAGACTGAAAACAGATGGGGGAGCCTTGTTGACATTCAAGAAATAAAAAAATGAAGATTTTGTCATTTTGGAAAATAACTTCTAACTTTTTATTTTTGAATATTAAAACTTTGCATATATGAGTATCTAAAAAAACAACAAAACAGTATAACTTTGGCTGCTTCTTGTGAAACACTGACTTAATTAAAGTAAATCTATGTAACATTTTCTTCTATTGACCAAACTTTAAGTCCTTTCTTAAAGAACACAAAGGTCAAATGACAACTTCTTTAAAACTAATTTCTAAGAACCGAAAACATAATAATAGAATGAATGACTTAGAGAGTCATATCTTTATACGAAGTGTCAGAAAATACTTTCAATATTTGACTAATAAGTTCTTTTCTCTTACTGAAAGTGCCATTTCAGTTGTTTTTAAGTTTTACCATTTCTCACTGTCCAAACTTTGCACACAATGCTGATTGTCCTACTTGAACTGCGATTGTTTTGGATGTGAATTTCTAATTTACTTCAAAATACTTTTTTTTTGCAAATGTTGAACATGATTCTGTGTTATTTATGCCTCTAACGATGTTTTGCCTTTAAGTACTTGCTTGATATTCTTTATCCTGTCCATCTTTCATCCTTTCCAAACAAGCCTTTTTAATGATTAACCACACCAAACTCCCCTCCCTCAAATCTTCCTCCTAATAGTAATCCTATTTTCTGTAGAAATGTGTACTTTAGTACAGATTCTTGCTCAACTTGTTAATGTTGTATTGACATTCCTAAGTAGAATAAATGCATTATTAAAACAATTTCACAGTGTTTTGTTTATAATTTTAATACAAATGTTTTATGGATTGATTGAAGATAAGTTTTATAAAGAAGGATGCCTATCACTCCATAGATGCTTTTGGAAGAGCTGATTGACCATTGTGCAGCGGACAACAATGGAAATGTTAGAGAGAAAAACACCACTGGGTTGTAGAGTAAAGTTGTTCCCACATCCAATCCAGACATTGGGGATTGCCTTGTTCGTGAGACAACTTCCTGGGCCTTCGGCATATTGTGGTAGGATGGCCAGTTCCTTTCCATGCCGACTTTACCTCCCCAGCTCGAAGTCAGGTACTCATTACTGCTGGGTGAGCAGGAGGGGGCGAAAAAAATCCTTGTCCGAACTGAGGCTCGATCCCAGATTTTCTGCTTCGGAGACGAGCGCACTAACCGCTCCGCCACCGCACCCTCCCACCGGGTTGTAAACAATTTAAAAGTTACTCATACAGAAGCAGCAGAAATTGAATATTA